GCCGAGACCCCGCGGCTTCAGCACCCGCAGGCCCCAGGCCTGGACAGTGGGGATCCTTTGAGGGGTGACCCGCTCCCTGGCAGCTCCCCAGGGCAGTGGCTCAGGTGCCTGTGGACCCCAGGTCCCCTGGCTTGGGGGCGGGGGGTTGGTCTGTGGGCCTCGAGCCTTTGTCAGTGCCCGGCTGGCTCAGGGGGCTCCCTCCGGGCCTCTGTGCTGGGCATGGGACGCGGGCGCACACCAGCCAGCATCCTGAGGTCCTGAGGGGTGTGGGCAGCTGGGTCTGATGGTCCCAGATCCCTTGCCAGCCTGTGACGGCTGGGCCTTTCCCAGGGCACCGGAACCCGGGCTCGGGGGTCCCTGAAGCCACCAGGGAGTGTGTCCGGCAACACGTCCTCCCTCAGCTGAGTGGCCGTCCCTGCTCAGCCCCTGCCGCCTCTGGCCCTGAGCTCTTGTGTTTATTTTATTTTTTAAAAATATTTTTTATTGATTTTTTACACTCCAGCTGAAGTCCTTTCACAACGAGCTGCTCACGCAGCTGGAGCAGAAGGTGGAGCTGGACTCCAGGTACCTGAGTGTAAGTAGCCCCGCCCACACCTGCCCGCTCCCTCCTGCCCTGAGAGGTCCCTCAGAGCCCCATCCAGTGGTCCCCCCGGCGTTCCTGCCCATGGAGACGTCATGGGGTCCGAGGGTGAACCCGCTGCCTGGCTCCCCTGTGCCCACCTCGGGGCTGTTGGTGAAGGTGCTGGTGTGAGGCCGCCGCTGCCTGGAAGCCACACAAGCTCCCTGTCGCCCGCTGTGACCATCGAGTCCCTCGAGCTCATCACCTTCCCCAGCCTGACCTTGGTCTCCGGGAGCCGAGGGAGGGCGGCTCATGGCCGCTGTGTGTCCGTCGCCTGCAGGCCGCGCTGAAGAAGTACCAGACGGAGCAGCGGAGCCGCGGGGACGCGCTGGACAAGTGCCAGGCCGAGCTGAAGAAGCTGCGCAAGAAGAGCCAGGGCAGCAAGAACCCCCAGAAGTACTCGGACAAGGAGCTGCAGGTGGGCCGCCGGGCCTGGCGGGAGGGACAGCGGGC